GAGTAATGAGTAGTGAATAGTGGGTAGTGCGTAGTGCGTAGTGCGTAGTGAGTAGTGAGTAGTGAGTAGTGAGTAGTGAGTATTTAGTAGTGAGTAGTGAGTAGTGAGTAGTCAGTAGAGAGTAGCGAGTAGTGAGTAGTGAGTAGTGAGTACTGCGTACTGGTACGTAGTGCGTAGTGAGTAGTGAGTTATGAGTAGTGATGAATAGAGAGTAGTGGGTAGTGGTAGTGGGTAGTGAGTAGTCAGTAGCGAGTAGGGAGTAGCGAGTAGTGAGTAGTGTGAAGCGAGTAGTGCGTAGTGAGTAGTGAGTAGAGGGTAGTCAGTAGCGAGTAGTGGGTAGCGATTAGTCAGTAACGAGTAGGGAGTAGCGAGTAGCGAGCAGTGAGTAGTGAGTAGTGAGTAGGGAGTAGGGCGTAGGGAGTAGTGAGCAGTGACTAGTAAGACGTGGGTAGCGAATAGTGGGTAGTGAGTAGCGATGAGTGAGTAGTGAGTAGTGGGTAGTGAGTAGTGACTAGTGACTAGTGACCTGTGACTAGCGACTAGAGACTATGTAGTGACTAGCGAGTAGGGAGTAGTGAGTAGTGAGTAGTGAGTAGCGGGGAGTGAGTAGTGAGTATTGAGTAGCGACTATGGGAGTCGCGAGTAGTGAGTACTGAGTACTGTGTAGTCAGTATTGTGTAGGGAGTAGGGAGTAGAGAGTAGCGAGTAGTGGGTAGTAGGGTGATTTGTGGGCAATGAGTAGTGAGTAGTGTGTAGTGAGTAGTGAGTAGTGGATAGTTGGTAGTGGGTAGTGAGTAGTGCTTAGTGAGTAGGGAGTAGGGAGTAGGGAGTAGTGCTTAGTAAGTAGTGAGTATCGAGTAGTGGCAGTGGGTAGTGAGGAGTGGGTAGTGAGTAGTGAGTAGGGAGGAAGGAGTGGTGAATAGGCAGTAGTGAGTAGCGAGTAGTGGGTGGTGGATCGTGAGTAGTGGATAGTGAATAGTAAGTCGTGAGTAGTGAATAGGGGGTAGTGAGAAGTGAGTAGCGAATAGCGAGTAGTTTGTAGTCGGCAGTGAGTAATGAGTAGTGAGTGCTTTTTGGGGCTGGGGTTAGTGGTTGGGGTTCGGGTTCGGGGTTTGGGTTAGGGTGAGGACTAGGGGTAGGGGTGGCAGGGGTTTCGGGTTCCGAGTCAGGGGGCGGCGTGGCGAAAGGGGGGGAGGGGGGGGGCGGCCAAAGTGGAGGAGGGGGGGGGGGGGGGTCGAACCGCATGTGGGCCCAATCCCAACCCACTGGGCCCAATCCCAACCAACTGGGACCAATCCCAACCAGTGCGAAAAGCAAACTGGGCCCAATCCCAACCATCTTGGGATAGCCCCACAATAGGATTTTAATTGTAGAGAAGCCCAAGACGACTGCGAAGACCAAGTGACACCCCTTATGTCAACGCAGAGGATCTGGAAGCCAACATGCGTGCTCGATTGGAATTGGTCTCAGTTTTTGGTCTGCGCACGAGCACTACGTTAAGATGAGCAAGAGGGCACCGAAGCGTAAGCAAAAACGCACCGAATTGCATCGATTCTGAAATATGCAAATGGATCCTCCTAGTACTAGAGTAGTAGTAGTAGTAGTAGTAGTAGTAGTAGTAGTAGTAGTAGTAGTAGTAGTAGTAGTAGTAGTAGTAGTCGTAGTAGTAGTAGTAGAAAAAAGGAGTAGCAGTAAAAGTAGTGGAAGTAGTAGTAGTAGTAGTAGTAGTGGTAGTAGTAATAGTAGTAGTAGTAGTAGTAGTAGTAAAAGTAGTAGTAGTAGGAGTAGTAGTAGTAGTAGTAGTAGTAGTAGTGGTGGTAGCAGTAGCAGTCGTAATCGTAGTCGTAATAGTCGTAGTAGTCGTAGTAGTCGTAGTAGTAGCAGCCGTAGTAGTAGTCGTAGTAGTAGTAGTAGTAGTGGTAGAGGTAGTAGTAGTAGTAGTCGTAGTAGTAGAAATAATAGAAGTAGTAGTAGTAGAAGTAGTAGTGCTCGTAGTAGTAAGTAGTAGTAGTAGTAGTAGTAGTAGTAGTAGTAGTAGTAGTAGTAGTAGTAGTGGTAGTAGTAGTAGTAGTAGTAGCGATCGTAGTAGCAGTAGTAGTAGTAGTAGTAGTAGCAGTAGTAGTAGTAGTAGTAGTACTAGTAGTAGCGATAGTCGTATTAGTAGCAAAACAAGTAGCAATTGTAGTAGCAGTAGCAGTAGTAGTAGTAGAAGAAGAAGTAGTACTAGTAGTGGTGGTAGTATTAGTAGTAGTAGAAATAGTAGTAGTAGTAGTAGTAGTAGTAGTAGAAGTAGTAGTAGTAGTAGTAGTGGTGGTAGTAGTAGTCGTAGTAGAAGTAGTCGTAGTCGTAGTCGTAGTTGTAGTAGTCTTAATCGTAATAATGGTAGTAGTGGTAGTCGTAGTAGCAGTAGTAGTAGTAGTAGTAGTAGCAGTAGTAGTAGTAGTAGTCGTAAACTGTGTCGTAGTCGTAGTCGTAGTCGTAGTAGTAGTCGTAGTTGTAGTAGTAGTAGTAGTCGTAGTAGTAGCAGAAGTAGTAGTAATAGTAGTAGTAGTAGTAGTAGTAGTAGTAGTAGTAGTAGTGGTAGTAGTAGTAGTCGTAGTCGTAGTAGTAGTAGTAGTAGTAGTAGTAGTAGTAGTAGTAGTCGTACTAGTCGCAGCTTTAGTCCTAGTAGTAGTGGTCGTAGTAGAATTTGTAAGGTTACTAGTAGTAGCAGTAGTAGTAGCACTAGTAGTAGTAGTAGTCCTAGTAGTCGTAGTAGTAGCACTAGTAGTCGTAGTAGTAGTAGTAGTAGAAGTAGTAGTGGTAGTAGTAGTAGTAGTAGTAGTAGTAGTAGTAATAGTAGTAGTAGTAGTAGTGTAGTAGTAGTAGTAGTAGTAGCAGTAGTAGTCGTAGCAGTGGTAGTAGTAGTAGTAGCAGTAGTAGTAGTAGTAATACTAGTAGTAGTAGTTGTAAGCAGTAGTAGCAGTAGTCGTAGTAGTCGTAGTAGTAGTAAAGTAGTAGAGTAGTAGTAGTAGTAGTAGTAGTGGTAGTGCGTAGTAGTAGTAGTAGTAGTAGTAGTAGTAGTAGTAGTAGTAGTAGTAGTAGTGGTAGGAGTAGCGGTCGTAGTAGTAGCCGCAGTAGAAGTAGTCGTAGTCGTAGGCGTGGTTGTTGTAGTCTTAGTCGTAATAGTGATAGTAGTAGTAGTAGTCGTAGTAGTAGTAGTAGTAGTAGTAGTAGTAGTAGTAATAATAGTAGTAGTAGTAGTAGTAGTAGTAGTAGTAGTAGTAGTAGTAGTCGTAGTCGTAGTCGGTGTCGTAGTCGTAATCGTGGTAGTAGTTGTAGTAGTAGTAGCAGTAGTAGTAGTAGTAGTAGTAGTAGTAGTAGTGGTAGTAGTAGTGGTAGTAGTAGCCGTACGAGTCGTAGTACTGGTAGTACTGGTAGTAGTAGGAGTAGTAGTAGTAGTAGTAGTAGTAGTAGTAGTGGTAAGTAGTCGTAATAGAATTCGTAATAATATTATTACTAGTAGTAGTAATAGTACTCATTCTAGTAGTAGTAGTAGTAGTAGTAGTAGTAGTAGTAGTAGTAGTAGTAGCAGTGGTGGTGGTGGTGGTGGTGGTGGTAGCGGTAAGTGGTAGTAGTAGTAGTAGTAGTAGTAGTAGTAGTAGTAGTAGTAGTAGTAGTAGTAGTAGTAGTAGTAGTAGTAGTAGTAGTAGTAGTAGCAGTAGTAGTAGTAGTATTAGTAATAGTAGTAGTAGTAGTAGTAGTAGTAGTAGTAGTAGTAGTAGTAGTAGTAGTAGTAGTAGTAGTAGTAGTAGTAGTAGTAGTAGTAGTAGCAGTCGTCGTAGTAGTAGTAGTAGTAGTAGTAGTAGTATTAGTAGTAGTAAGTAGTATTAGTTAGTAGTAGTAGTCGTAGTAGTACAGAGTAGTAGTAGTAGTAGTAGAAGCTAGTAGTAGTAGTAGTATAGTAGTGTCAGTAGTAGTACTAGTATAAGTAGCGTAGTAGTAGTAGTAGTAGTAGTAGTAGTCGTAGTAGTAGTAAGTAGTAGTAGTAGTAGTAGCGTAGTAGTAGTCAGTTGTAGTAGTAGTTAGTTGTTAGTAGTTAGTAGTAGTAGTAGTGGTAGTAGTAGTAGTAGTAGTAGTAGTAGTAGTAGTAGTAGTAGTATAGTAGTAGTAGTAGTAGTAGTAGTAGTAGTAGTAGTTAGTAGTAGTAGTAGTAGTAGTAGTAGTAGTAGTAGTAGTAGTAGTAGTAGTAGTAGTAGTAGTAGTAGTAGTAGTAGTAGTAGTAGTAGTAGTAGTAGTAGTAGTAGTAATCTCAGTAGTGGTAGTAGTAGTAGTAGTAGTAGTAGTAGTAGTAGTAGTAGTAGTAGTAGTAGTGGTAGGAGTAGGAGTAGTCGTAGTAGTAGTACTAGTAATAGCAGTTCTAACGAACCCTGAGGAGTTCCGAAGATTTCGAAGGGATCCGGAGGAATCTGGAAGCTCCCATCCGTGGTTGGAATTGGTCTCATTTTTGGTTGGGTTGGAATTGGTCTCATTTGTGGTTGGAATTGGTTTCTTTTCTGGTTGCAATTCGCTCCGAACGGTTGGAATTGGGCCTAGTCGGTTGTAATTCGTTCCATTTCGGGTTCGGACCCCCCCCCTTTTTGAAAGGAGGGAGGGGGGGGGGCGCCCGACGACGGACCAGGAAAGGGCGGGGGGGGGTTCCCCGACGACGGATCGGGGAAGGGGGGCAGGGGGGGGGGTCCCCGACGACGGATCGAGGAAAGGGGGGGGGTCCCAACCCCCCCCCCTTCGGGGTTATCCAGCGGCGCTCCCTCCATCATATGGTTCTTGGATCGGTGATCAGACATCCTGGGATCCTCGTGACCTGGGCACGCGGGTCGCTGAGATCCGGTTTTCATGTCGAATGTTTTGCCAGAAGAAATTTCACATACGTCAGCTCATCCTCAGTGCTGACTGTGGTCGAGACTGTGCCTCTGGCGGAGAACGGCACATCCGCTCTACTTTTTCTGACCTTCAGCTGATCAAAGACACCCGTTTCTCCACTTGTCAACAAACTCATGGGCACAATCCCGAGTACCCGTCGTTACGGTAAACTTGCCGTCCGCCCGGTCGCCGAACGCGGCGTCGCCCCAGCCGACCGCGGCCAGGTCGGGCTTGGAGAACGGGAAGATCTCCAGCACGCGTTCTATCGTCTCTTTCGAGCGTTTGATCCGCTTGTTGACCTTGACTAGGTCCTCGACCGTGCACGATTCCGTCTTGCTTTGCAGCGAGCTCAGCTCGGCCAGGATGTCTTGGCCCGTCTGAGTACCTTTTTCCACTGCGGGCTCCCTGGCGCTGCTCGGGATTGGCTCGTCTCCGCCGGGTCACGGGCGAAGCTGGTTGACGGCGCCGATCGGCTGTAGCTTCGGTCTCCTAGATCTGCTCGGCGTAGGCTGCCTGGCTCAGGGTGGAACCGATGTCCGCCCGCTGGGTGATGTCCACGCCACGCTGGGTGAAGGCATCATAGTCCCACTCGGTCCACCTGAACGCCTCTATCACCTGTTGTCTCGCCTTCCGCCAAATCTCATCCGACACGCGACCCGCGAACAGGAAATCACCAACGTGGAAGAGGGCCATGGCGACTATTTGGTCTGGCGCACCAGCATCAGTGGTCCTGGCCAGAATCCGTACACATGGGTCGGGCTCCAGGTGCCTCCAGCCAAAGTCCTGCAGCCTCCGGTTGACGGCCTTGTGCCGCGCCCGCAGGGCTTGCACGAGGCCGTAGGCCGGCTTCTTCAGGATGGCCGCCTGTTCTGGCTTCAATCCCAGCATCTTGGCGATCTCGCCTGTCGGCCGCGCGAACAGGTCCCTTTCCAGCTCCTCGCCCTACAGGAGCGCGGGCTTCACGTCGCCCTTTGGCCACTCGCATCTTGAAGTGTGCCGCCTTCTGCAAGAACACCTGGCGAGCCGTCCGGGCAGCCGTCGGAGCGTAGGACTCCTCTGTGGTCAGATCGGGGTCCTGGTCCCGGAAACCCAACATGACCAGACGAGCCTTGGTCTGCTTGCCGCCAGGCCCCGCCAGACCTCTCGTCCGCGTCAGCACCCACCGAAGACTCATCAGCTTGTCACCCGGGACCGAGATGTGGCCCGGCAAGACAGCGCGACAACTCTCGATCTTCCTTTTGTCCTCGATCGCTTCTGTCCTCGTTCCCCGGTCCCCTCGGTCCTCCCCTCGATCCCGGACCCCGCCCCCTCGAGCCTCGATCCCCGATCCTTGTCTGCGGCGGTGGCGACGCCCCCTCGACCTCATGCCAGGCCCGCCGCTGGCGCGGAGGTGGCCCGGAGTCAGGCGCGCAGGGCGCCGTCGTCGTCGCCGCCGCCTCGCCTGAACGAAGGATTGCAAAAAACGAAGGATTGCAAAAAAACCCTTCGTTCAATCCTTCGTCGAAGGATTGCAACAAAAACGAAGGTTTTTTTTGCAATCCTTCGTTGCAATCCTTCGTTCAAGGGAGGAACGTCTGGGGCGTCGAAGGGGAGGAGGATCAGGGGAGGCAGAGGTGCCGATGCCGCGAGGCCCCCGTCGCCTCGGCGGGACTGGCCTCGAAATGCTCTCGTCGGAACGCCCTCTCTGGAGAGGTCCAGGGAAGGAGCGGTATCGTTCTTTCTTGTTCTGGTTTGCCCAGGTGAGGTCGTTTCCCAACCATCCTCTGGTGTTGGGTCCTCGTTCTGAAGAGACAGCGCCCCGCGTTCACTCCTCCTCCTCGCCCCTCCTCCTCCTCCTCCTCCTCCTCATCATCATCATCATCATCATCATCATCATCATCATCATCATCATCATCATCATCATCACCGCCAGTGACGTCATCAACACCATCCTCATCGTCATCATCATCATCATCATCATCATCGCCATCACCGTCATGATCGTCATCATCACCCCTTTCGGTACACCCCTCACACGTTTCGTGGCCCCATAGGGAGCTCCACCGACGGCTCCAGTGGGTGTGCCCGCATGCGTCCGCCACACCCAGCACAGCGTTTCGTGGCCCCATAGGGAGCTCCACCGAAGTCCCCAGTGGGGGTTCCCGCATGCGTCCGCCACACCCAGCACAGCGTTTCGTGGCCCCATAGGGAGCACCACCGAAGGCCCCAGTGGGGGTGCCCGCATGCGTCCGCCACACCCAGCACAGCGTTGCGTGGCCCCATAGGGAGCTCCACCGAAGGCCCCAGTGGGGGTGCCCGCATGCGTCCGCCACACCCAGCACAGCGTTTCGTGGCCCCATAGGGAGCTCCACCGAAGGCCCCAGTGGAGGTGACGGCATGCGTCCGCCACACCCAGCACAGCGTTTCGTGGCCCCATAGGGAGCTCCACCGAAGACCCCAGTGGGGGTTCCCGCATGCGTCCGCCACACCCAGCACAACCGCATGCGTCGTGGCCCCAGCTGGCCCCATCAGCGCTTCGTGGCCCATAGGGAGCTCCACCGAAGGCCCCAGTGGGGGTGCCCGCATGCGTCCGCCACACCCAGCACAGCGTTGCGTGGCCCCATAGGGAGCTCCACCGAAGGCCCCAGTGGGGGTGCCCGCATGCGTCCGCCACACCCAGCACAGCGTTTCGTGGCCCCGTAGGGAGCTCCATCGAAGGCCCCAGAGGGGGTGCCCGCATGCGTCCGCCACACCCAGCACAGCGCTTCGTGGCCCCATAGGGAGCTGCACCGAAGGTCCCAGTGGGGGTGCCCGCATACGTCCGCCACACCCAGCACAGCGTTTCGTGGCCCCATAGGGAGCTCCACCGAAGGTCCCAGTGGGGGTGCCCGCATGCGTCCGCCACACCCAGCACAGCGTTTCGTGGCCCCATCGGGAGCTCCACCGAAGGCCCCAGCGGGGGTGCCCGCATGCGTCCGCCACACCCAGCACAGCGTTTCGTGGCCTCATGGGGAGCTCCACCGAAGGCCCCAGTGGGGGTGCCCGCATGCGTCCGCCACACCCAGCATAGCGTTTCGTGGCCCCATAGGGAGCTCCACCGAAGGTCCCAGTGGGGGTGCCCGCATGCGTCCGCCACACCCAGCATAGCGTTTCGTGGTCCCATAGGGAGCTCCACCGAAGGTCACAGTGGGGGTGCCCGCATGCGTCCGCCACACCCAGCACAGCGTTTCGTGGCCCCATAGGGAGCTCCACCGAAGGCACCAGTGGGGGTGCCCGCACGCGTCCGCCACACCCATTACGGCGCGCCCCTCACGGGTGTCGTGTCCCACCGATAACGGCACCCACAATGCGTTACTCACAACTGAATATGGCTGGGTCCTTCGCCAGGATAATTTCGATGGATCTTGGACGAGGTTTTGTCCGGTCCTGCGGGTTCTCGCCTCAGGTGTTTTCCAGTAGCTGCGCGTCGTCGAGAGCTCTCTGGCGGTGCCCGACTCGTCCCGAGCGGCAGTCTCGGGGCCGAGCGGTGATTGAGTACTAGGGGTGTGTGTGGATATCCTGGCTGGGCGGATTTTGCGATACCCTCTTCTTCCTTCAGTACGCTCCCCGGCTACCCCTCGTCCGCGCACGTGTCTCAGGCCATGATGGCCCCCACTTTCTGGCCCCCCCCCCTTCGGCGCCCCCGAGAAATCGGGTCCCGCTGGAGACGGGTGCTTTGCTTGGGTGTCTCGCCGTGTTCAGCCTCCCGGGGCAGCCCCCTGGAGCCAGGAAAGAGCGACCCGGGGCGATGGAGCTGGTCCCAGATGGAGAGGTTTTCGTGCTCTTCCTCCTCCTCCCTCTCCTCCTCCCCCTCCTCCTCCTCCTCCTCCCCCTCCTCCTCCTCCTGCTCCTCCTCTTCGTCCTCCCCATCATCTTCCTCCTCCTCCTCCTCCTCCTCCTCTCCTCCTCCTCCTCCTTATCCTTATCCTTCTCCTCCTCCTCCTCCTCCTCCTCCTCCTCCTCCTCCTCCTCCTCCCCAGGGCAGTGCCCCACGATCCAGCGCCCGTTTCTATCCGGGCCCAGTTCTCTCAGAAGCCCGCTCCTTCTCATGGGAGTCCCATGCCGGGCAGTCGTCGTCGTCGTCGTCGTCGTCGTCGTCGTCGTCGTTGTCGTCGTCGTTGTTGTTTGTCTCCGAAGTCTTACCGTCGTCGTCGTCGTCGTCGTCGTCGTCGTCGTCGTCGTCGTCGTCGTCGTCGTCGTCGTCGTCGTCGTGCCGTGAGGGAGTGCAGCAGACCGGAGGGGGCGGGAACGGGGGAGAGCGCGGGGGCGAAGGACGAACTGCGAGCACCGCGGCCGCCGATGTGCTCGGGATGGGGGCCTCGCGGGAGGCCTGCGGCGGCTTCCGGGGGCGCCCCATCGGGGCAGAGGGGGCCTGCGGCGGCCGAGGCGCCCAGGGCTTCTCTCGGGCTGTGCGCTTCGGCTCAGGCAGTGGCGAGTCGTCCTGGCTCGCCTATGGCGCCACCAAAGACGGTTTTAAGAGCCTTTTGCGGTCTGCACGACATGTTCTGGGAACATTTCTGGCCGGGACTGTCTTGTTCTGGCACGTCGGGCTTATGTTCTAAGAACATTGTTTTTGTTATTAGAACATTTGTGGGTTCTAAGAACATTTCGCGGTAGGACTACAGGAATGCCGGGACGGTCGGTCCCTGCTCAATCGGCATCGGGAGGCTTCGGGACTCCTGCAGCGTGCCCTCGGACCCTCCTTCGGCGGCACATCACGGGAGCATGGTATGCCCTCTGCATTCCGTCGTTAGCGCCGATGAGCGTCGATTAGCGTCTGGAGTCGATGGGATAGCGCCGATTTAGCGTCGATTAGCGTCGGTTAGCGTCGCTTGAGCGTCGATAAGCGTCGATTCGCAAGAGCCGACACGATGGTATGGGAGGCTCCCATGAGTTGCCACCGAACCCTCCTGGAGAACTCTCGGGAGGGGAGGAGAATGGCAGCAGGGCGTCGGGCCATGCCTCCGTTCGAGGGAGCGCAAGTGTGGGTTAAGTTGCGTGGGTTAGCGACGGGCTCCGTGTCTATGGAGAACTCGGCGCGCTCCTTTGCCAAACGAGGCGGCACCGGCTTCATGCGCTGGGGGGTACTTTCCGCGATCCGTGGATCTGCCGGCCACCTGCCAGATCCACGGATCTGTAGTCCATGTGGGCGCGTGCCCGAGTTTTTCAGCCAGGGGGCCACATGTGAACCCTACCCGTACCCCCCACCCTCCCCCTCGGAAATCGTGGGGGGTAGGGGTAGGGTTCACATGTGGCCCCCTATCAGCGCGTCCCACTGCTCGCAGAGTGCTTGCTCGCAAAAGGTCCTGACGTCAAACGTCCGCCCCGATGTAACGCATCGCAGATTCCCCTCGGCGGATCCAGGCCATTGCGAGCAGTCAGTCTGCGCGCGGCGGAGCGCGCCTGCCCCGTGCCGCTGCGCATCGCCACCCCTGCCGCGGCTCCGTGCTGCGCGTGCTCGCGCAGGTGCGCCCACGGGGCCGCTGCCGCCGCCGCGCGCCCAGGCTTCTGGCAGTCGCCCAGGTTCTCGGGCTGTGGACGACGATCCATGGAGAGGAAGCATGTAGCCAACTAATTTCCAGACGTCCGAAGCATGTTTGAAACATCAAAGAGACACGATTCAGATATTCCAAGGACATGTTTCAAACATTTTTTCAGCACGCCTTCAGTTCAATGATCGGGTTGTTAGGGTGTCCATGGTCATGGCATCCACAATTCTCGGGCCAGGGGCCCCTGCGGCGCGCCTCGCGCCTCGCGCCGCGCGCGGCTCGCGGAAGACGCCTCGTGCCTGCCGCCTCTTGGCGCCTCTGGCCGACGCCGCCGTCGCCCGGAGGCTCGGGCCGAGACCCAGCGTGCGCCTCGCGCGCCTGCGCGCCCCGCGGAAGAAGCTTCGCGCCCGACGCTTCGGGGAAACGTCATCGGCGTCCCCCCAACATACTTGTGCTATGAGTTCGTCGCCCCCCCAGGGGCGACGCGCGCCCCGAGAAATCTTACAGTATATGCGTCGTGGCGGGCGCTTTCTGGCCACACGGCTCGAGAAACGATCTACTACAATATGGGTATACTATATGGTTGGGT